AAGGAAAATGAGTAGCTGAAGAACAGTTTGAATAATAGCTATAAGACAAAAATTACTTTATTGCTTTGATATGCGTGCTTACAGTGGTGGTGAAATGAAAAGGTTCTCCCTTTTATATAGTATGGAAATTTCAATCCTAGTACAAATCTAAATAAGGTAAAAATCCTTTTTCTCTAGTAAATTATGATCCGCAATTGATATTGGGCGAGATTCGTGCCGTGAAATCCGGTTGATGGCGGATATTTCGGCCCCTCGTTCGTTCTTTCTAACCTTTTTCTCTTAACCCTCGATTCTTTGTTTTGCTCGACCTCGATTCCTTTCATGTTCGGCCATGTCCGAATCTCGGCGTGTTATTTATCCACTCGGGCTCTGATATGGGGAACCCTCAGCTTTACCCGAGCCTGCGATGAACCACGTAATCTCTTGTTTCATCATTGGGAAATTGGGGATAGCTTTATTTCCGAATTTACTCGTACACAAATATAAATAGAACATCTTGCACAATGATGTCTATAATCTGTTTACCTCGAAAATACGAGTAAGAATTAAATTTGATTAGTGGTTTTAAAGATATGTGAATTAGTTCAATATCAATTAATAATCAAGAAATGTGAAGTAGAAATGAAAGATAGAAGTGAATCAAACCAATGTTACTCAGCAGTAGTGACCTCAAGCTTAGTTGCCTCGAGGTGACTTAGGACAATAAGAATAATTAAGTAAGAAAAAGTAAAGTAAGAACAATAGAGCTAAAGGACAATTCTGATAAACAGTAGGCAAAATGTGGAGAGTAAATTCTTTGCTCAATGATTATATGATCTTACAAATGATTGGGATCCCTTTTATATAATAGGGAAATCCCTAAATAAGGAATATTTCTATTTACAATAAGGAATATTCTTGGTACAACTGTCTAACCGCCTAGTACAGAATCGTACAATCATATTCCGGAATTTGTGCCACGATCTTAGGGACGTGGCAGGAATCTAGCTTACTCTGTTACAAATCCATAACGGTAATATTCCAAGTTCGAACATGCTCGCCCTCAATATGTATTGCGCTCCGTCTTCGAACTCGGGTCTGGTCCCTCGAGCTCGAACTTGGCCTTGCCCAGACTCGGACCTCGAACGACCTCGCGAGTATATAGATCGAAGGCATTTGATCTCGACCGTATACATAATCCAATCAACATTCTACAATCAAATACAACTCAATTCTGACCATGGTTACGTGATATATATTTTTACTTCGATTTGTTGATTGTTAAAGTTAATTAATTAATTAGATGTAAACATTCACATCACAGATAAATTTTACCATTTTTCTAATTATATTTTGTATGTATACTATTTGCACCTTGCGTTAAATAACGCAAGATCATTCTTAATTTGTTTAATTCTGTCTAACTGAGCATTTATTTTTACGTCCATATTTATATGACACATATTAAACAAAAAAGTTATAGGATTTATCACTGGAATTGTTTGCTAACGTTTTGACGTCAATAAAATAATAAATTCATTTTTATAATTTCATTTCCGACAATTACATTTTCAAATTGCCACCAGCAGCTCCAAGCAACGGTCAATAGAAAGAGCTCTTGTACCTTGTTCAGGGAGCCACCGAAAGGAGAAAGAGTTCTTTCGTTTATTTATTCACAAATATAATATAAAAAAAAAAAAGGATCATTGAGTAGAATGAGTAAGATTACAACAATATACCTATTATCACTTGAACTCACTAAGTCAAGAGATGTCAATCGTGTTGTGTGTATATATATATATATATATATATATATATTATAAAAAATTACTTAACTATACAGTATAATTTTTCGACAAAAGGGTGTCAGTTGACACCCCTAATTAAGTGCACGTGACTCCGCCACTATCCATTATATTCTAATAAGTGGAGTTTGGCTAGGATACTATATAAGCAGATCTTATCTTTATCCTATGCAAGTAGAGAGATTGTTTTCGACAGACTCTCGACTCAATTAAGCACCATATTAATAGTAAAAAATGCAATATAAAAAGTAAACAAGTCATGGAAAGGACATAAGCAATAGCGGGATAGTAACAAAACGAAACAAAAGCAATATCAAGTCATAATATGAATCCAAGAATAACCCACAATTAGAGTAATACTAAAGCTACTGGTATGCAAGGAAACATGCTAATCTTTAACTTCCACAATCTTCTATTAAGGTGACGTCCTCAGTAAGCTAAACATATGTCTTATCACGCATGTTTAATCACGTCACCCCAAATACTTCTTAAAATTCTCTTATTTTTAATCTGAGTTTTCAAGTTTAAATTTGGAATATAACAGTTTTTTAATAGGGGCACTTCCTTTTTAATAAACCTTATTGGACGCAAATCCAAATTATTAGATCCAAAGCAAATATCGGATATGTGGACGGATGGAAACAGAAAAAGAATTAATAACAAAAGAAAGGGAAAAAGAATAATTAGAAAAAGAAAAAGAAATTCTGAGGGCCCTACAAGGTGTTTAAGTTTGTCGTCTAGTGATGAATCATCATCACCAAAAAAAAGTAACTGAAACTCTGAAAAAGGGTGCCCTTTTCAAAATCTATACCCTACCCTTCCCACATTTTTTCTTTTATTTTTATTTTCTTTTTCCATCTTTTTCTAATGTATAATGATTTTTGTTTTTAATACAAGCACCAAATTCCAAAAATTCACATGCAATTGAATAAAGTACGACCCACCATGTACTACAAGTATATTTGCGGTACATATTGCTGAGTACCACATCTTTATTTTAACATTACTAAAGTTTTCCAAAAAAAACAATTTACAGTGTTGAAAAGACTGTATTGGCCTTTAATATTAAACCTTGAAAATGGTCAAATTTATCCCTATCTTATCCGAAACTGAGCAACTTAAGTTTCGTTAAACTTTTGATCTAATATTACTTATGTTGTTAGGAAAGAATATTATTTTTGCACTTGTGCCCTTATAAATTCTAACCCGAGATTAATTTTATACTATAGTCAAAAGGCGAGGATAAATTTGGATGTTTTTTTCGAAAATTTTGGCCACTTAAAAGCCATTCATTTCATGAAATAAAAAATTGTTAATCGCAAGGGCATATATATGACTATTTGCTAAAGAAAGGTACGAATGCATAAAATATAACAAAAAAAGTTTTAACAATTTTGGATAATACAAGGACGAATGTGAATCTTTTTTCATCTGACTTTAACCAATTCGGTCATAGTTGAAAAAGAAAAGACAAATTCGGCCATATTACCGCTGTTTACCTACTTACTTAATTATCCAAATAATTCATCATCTAGGAGAACTAGCAAGCTCAAAAGAGATGTCAGGTAATAAAAAATGATTTGGTTAAAGAATGATTTATAACAAATAATCTATTCATAACCCTTTTTATGTTCCCATCAATTATTATTAAAAAAAATACCCTTATGTCTCTTGTCAACTTGGTACGTTAACATTTCATTGAAAATACCGAAATAAAAAATAAACAACTAATACATGACATTATGATGTGGTAAATTTTATAAAGGGAGAAATTAAAAAATAGCTAAATTTATAAGTGGTCATTCAAAAATAGCCATAATTTTAAAAGTAATCGAAATTTAGCCACTTTTCATGTAAAAAAAAACTGAACGAAAACACTGTTCAAAATCCGGAAAAATACTCTAGTATAATATACTAGGGTACCAGCATAAGTATACTGGAACTACAGTATAATATACTGAAGTTCCAGTATAATATACCGGTCCAGCATAATATATTGGAGATTGGAGCACCGGTGCTCCAATCTCCAGTATATTATACTGGAACTTTCCGCATGTTGGAGTTCCAGCATGGAAGTTCATATACGGGTGCACCGATCTCTAGTATATTATGTTGGAACTTTCCGTGTTGTAGCAAAATAGCACGAGTAATAATGCTTTCGCTAGCTATTTTTGAATTACCAGTCCGAAAACTGGCTAGCCCGTGCTATTTTTACGTTTATAAAGCTCTTTTGTTGGTCGATAGCATTATTCGTGAAATCACCTATGTATAAATTACTTAGTATATTACTATGATTTGGTAAAGTTAAAAAATTTGGGGGATCACTCGTGCAAGGATAATAAACGCATCTTCTTTTTCAGATCCATTTATTGTAAAAAAAAAAAAAAAAAAAAACGTTTACGTATATAAATAACCTAATAACTACATATTTAGTAAGTAGTTCAACTAGTCATAAAATATCTTTAACACTTGTCAGATCATATTAATCCATCCTTATCCACAATTATTATACCAGATAATAAGAAGTAATTGGAAGATAAAGCATGACTTCACCTTTTTTCTAATACAAAATATTTAAGTCACAATTTTGTTGAAATTGTCTTTAATAAATTGAACAAAATGAAAATAACTCTTTATCTTAAATTTTTAAAGTATAAGATCTAAACGTAAGGATTTCTTTTCTTATTTTCTATGTCGTTCCTACTTTATCCCAAAATGAATAAAAGAATGTGCATATTTAATGTTTTAATATTGACCAAAAACTATAACAAAAAAAAAGAAGGAAACTAACCAAAAACCAATTAATTGATATATTCTAGTGAATTTGGTGGAAAAACTGTGGCAGATACATTCTACTTTGGTATACATAAAACCTATATATATATATATATATTTTTATTTTTTTTCTAAAAATAATTAACTTAATATTCATCGAAGGTATAAAGAATTTTTACTCCATCAATACATTTAAATTAATATCACTTTTTAGCTTACTAGTATTTTTTTTTTTTTGAGAATTACTTGCATTTATTTTTTGGTAGTGTAAAAATTAGTAGTATATAATAGTATGTTTCTACACTGTAGTTATAGAGGTATATTCATTGTATTATACTCCGTATTTCCATAACATTTTATACACTAATAAGAGAAAACGAAATGAGTATATGAGAAGCTCTAACTGTTACTGATTTTGATGCAATGTAAGAGAGAGAGAGAGATGTACTGAAGAAGCCACACACAACACAACACACACACAAAAGAAACTGTGAGAGATAAAGAGAGAGAGAAAGGGGAAAGAGCTCTTCACTAACACTGGTGCATTTTTTTCTTGCATTCTGTTCTTCTTTCTTCTCTCAGAAAACAAACACTCCATCTTTGAAGCTTCTGGAAATAAATCTACCTTAGGTGGTTTGCTTTTCCCTCTATGTTCATCTCTCCCCTTCAAATAATAAGAATTTTTTTTAAAAAAAAAAAGAAGTGAAAACCGTCAAGGAAAAAATAAAATAAAAAATCAGCTTTTGATTGTTAAAGATTCTTGTGCGATGCATCACTCAAAGTTGGTTTCTTGAGAAATGGGGTTTATGTGGTTTGTTGATTAGATATGTCAATGCTGATTTATTTATTTTTCGTTAGCTTTTGGGTATTCATCATAGTTTCAAATATTTATATAATCTTCATTTTCAGGTCGTTCTCTTGTTGACTCCTAGTGCTCTTCGATTTTGACTCATTTTTTCTTATTTCTCGCTATATTTATTTTTCTTGAAAAAAAAATTCCCCTTCAGGCAATAATTTATCTGGGTATTGGATTCTTGAAATATTTGTTCAATGTAGCTATTCTGTAGATGTATGATCTTATTTCTTTTAAATTTCTCATTTGTTTTATATTTTAGGTATTAAAGGAAAAAATCTTGATGTTGATGCAGGTGTTGGTGGAGTTTTAGGGCAGAGGGTTTAAGGGAGAATGCTGAGGAAGAGGAGCAGATCACACCACAAATTTCAACACATGGGACAACATTTGATCTCAGATTCCTATTCTCAACCTGATGTGTTGTTAGCTAATAGGAAACATAATAAAAATAACAACTTTTTCAATGTTCCTGTTCCTGCTGGTGTGTTTGTTGGGCTCAATAATCCTACTAAGGCTAGCTCAGAATCTGATTCAGTGAGAAGTCCTACTTCTCCACTTGATTTTAGGGTCTTTTCGAATTTGNATCTGATTCAGTGAGAAGTCCTACTTCTCCACTTGATTTTAGGGTCTTTTCAAATTTAGGTAACCCCTTTAGGAATAAGGCTACCTGGGGTTGTTGCACTAAAGTAGGCCTTGGCATTGTAGATTCTCTTGATAATGATGATGAGATGAAGAAATCGGGGAAAGTTCTCCGATCATCGGATAGTAAAAACATTCTTTTTGGCACTCAAATGAAGATCAAGACACAGAATTTTCAGACCTGTGTTGAGGAACCTAAGTCACTCCCTAAGAATATATCGATTTTTCCTCATACCTTGTCCAAAAGCTCCAATCTTGAAAAGGGCAATTCTGATGTTGTGTTTGGAATTGGAGAAGCCCCATTAGAGCATGAGTTGTCGAGAAATTTTCGTTCTTTTTCTCTAGACTCCGGTAGGTCTATTGCCCATTTTGCAAGCTTGGCGAATCATTCCCTGAATTTTGGTTCTGGAAATGGAACGAATCCTGTGGTTTCACATACTCAATGTGCTAGAGGTTGCTCAAAGTTGGGTCCTATGCCAACATCGGTTGGCTCTAGCGCTAGCTTAGTTGGTGCTATTTCGGCGAGTGACATTGAACTTTCTGAGGACTATACCTGTGTGAGAACCCGTGGACCTAATGCCAAAGTAACTCATATTTTTGGTGACTGCATTTTAGAATGTCACAACAATGAATTGACCAATTTTTGTAAGAATGCTAGCGAGAAAACCACATTGCCTGAGGTGGTTGACAGCTCGGGGGTTCTCACTTCATATCCTTCAAGCGATTTTTTGCGCTTCTGTTACTCTTGCAAGAAGAAGCTGGATGGAGAAGATATTTACATGTACAGGTCTGTTGATATTCGGTGCATTTTTAAATGGTTTTAGTCACTCAATGATTTTGACAATGAAAGATGTTTTTTGCAGAGGTGAGAAAGCTTTTTGCAGCTTGAACTGCCGTTCCGAGGCGATTTTGATTGATGAGGAGATGGAGAAACTCAATAATGATTCTGAAAACACTATTAAGCCAAACAGCCGGGATGAAGTTTTTGAGACCGGCTTGTTCATTGCTACATAGGATGCTGCAATTGCGCTACTAAGCCCATGATTGACGAAACGGCCACACGGTTTTAACAAGTAGAAACCCTGATCATCTGTTTCCTAAGAGCTGTTTTTTTTTGTGCATCTGTGTGCAGCCATGGATGATCAGAGAATGTATTGCTATTTGTGTGAACTGTCTTTCCTTTCTCATGGTCTTAGTGGTTAAACAATCGCAAACAGCAAGTTTTGCTTTACATAGTTCTGAATCTGATATGTAATAGTGGAGTATAATCTCTGAAAAAGAATCTTAATTACAAGGGTTGTAGCCCATCCTTGTGGCTCCCCAATTTTTGGTTTCTCACCTGCTAAATAGTTTGGCAAAGTCTGATGAATATAAATGTTTCATGACTACATATATTGCTTCTAAATGTTACTCTAGTAGTGTATCACCGACTCATACCAGTATTACTTGTAACACACTAGGCCATATATATAGTTGTCCTCATTGTTTACTGCTAATCGAATTCGACTGTCTGGTTATGTCAAAGTGTTTGTGACTTGTGAGATGGTTTCTTGATTGTGATTCAGCCTTAAGTGATTGTGTGATGGTCGCCTATGCTGGTAAATTTTGATTTGGCCTTCTACTCAGATGAAGATAGCATAGGCTCTTGAGGTTTCTGTTCTTACTGTTCTTCAAATACCCCTCAAAACCAATTGCTCCCTGAATTCTAGCTCTTTACTTTGATCCTCAACTTATTATCTTTTTTCTTGAATGTACTTGGTCGACATGTTGGGAATGTATTTTAGTCATGTTAGTATGTTTAGGTCCTATGTTTTCTAGGAGTTTCTTAGTCCTGCCAGATTTACGTATCCGTGGAAAATATCGAGAACTTCTAATACCTTTTATTTCTGTTTTGCACAACATTGGTCTGAGATGAGCTTAAATGGAGCAGACATGGTTAGTGAGGATTCATGTAGCTGATCTAACTTGCTTGGGGTCGAGGCATAGTAGTTGTTGTATCAATACTTTGTAGCTCCATTTTATTTCTTCAGATTTAGCTACACCAATTCTGCTTCAGTTTAGGACATGATATGTTCTGTTGTGTTACATGAGCAGCTGTCTTTTTTATTCTTTCTCTAGCTTTTAGGTTAGCACAGACATGTTTGTTTATTCTAACTACTTGAGACATCCTCATCTTTAAGAACCCCCTTTGGCTTTAATTTTGTGCTTCAACTGCAATTGGAGAGGGAGTCTCTTCCACTGTTATTTAGGGATTGATTGGTTTCCCTGAGAACACTGTTGGGAGATTGAGAGAATGTTGGGCCATGAGCTGCCATATTTGAAGTCTGAAGGCACTACTGAAATATGGATTGCCTTTGCTAAAGCATTATCACTTTTCCTGGTTTCTTTCTGTACTTGTTTATGTTTCCTATTTTGTTTTTCTGTTATTTTGTGAGTTTATTAATTTAAGTAACTTGGGTTGGGTGAAAATTGGACAGGGAGTAAATGGAGCTCGCCTCACTTGGTAAGAAAGAGTACCCCTCTGGTCCGTCTCATCTTTCATTTCAGGAAAAAGAAAAGGAAAGAATGTAGCTCAAATTATGTCACTCAAGAAAACTAAAAAAGGCATTAATTGTTTTCGTCCTTGTTAGTCTAAGATAGCTTAGTCATTAATTACTCATTTAAGGAAGAAAAGGGAGATTTGGTTAGAAACTCATTACTATTAATGCTATCGTACTATCAAATAATCTTTTAATTGGTAATCCAAAACCTTACAAGCCAGGTAAAAACCACCGGACAGCAAAAATTGTAAGTGAACGTTAATTTGCTTAATGTAAAGAAGCCTCAAATCCAGTAAAAGGAAATCCAAGAACTGCAAAATTAAGCCAGTCCAGTATAAACCGATACCCGACGGCAGAATCTGACTAGATTTGACGTGATAAAATAAAAAAAGAAACAAGCGAAGTCTTAAGTACCTTCTGCAAAGAATGATACTTTGAACTAATGCATTTATCTTGATCTGTAGTTTACGGTATCACACAGACACAACGCATCAGGTCTCAGCCACATTTTACTCGCTGTGGACTCTGGTAGAAATGATTGAATAAAGCTAAAGGTAAACATATGCTGCCAACACTAGTTTGGTAACACTGAACAATTAGTCAGTGTCTTCTGATATACACTGGATACTTCACGCAGGAATTTAGAATTGTAGTGGATGCCACACCTACCACAAGGAACAACAGAAATTTTTTGAGGAAATGCAAAAGTACGAGAACCCCAGAAGCGCTACAAGCAGGATCATGTTGGAACCCCCTCTTTCCTTCGTTTCTTCTGCAAGAGCCAGCTTTGAAAAGCCCAATCACTTCCCACTCAGAATATAGCATTCTAACCACATTGGGCGGCAATCATTTTCACATCACAGCCAGACTATTGATATTTGGTCCTCCTATCTGCCTCTTGTTTGGCGGGTGTTATAAGATTTGCAACATGGACATTTCTGGGCCACAAAATGAAATTGCACTTCTGAGGTAATTCCACAATCATTACAAAGAATCCAAACCTGCGATATCACCCAACACGGTCACTTTCTTAAGCTCGTATGGCACATTAATGCAGCAATTAAAACGATTTAGAAAATACACTTACCTTCTTGTCTTGATAAGATTCAGGCATTGGTGCTGCGGCAATCTCCATGTCAAATTTCTCCCACACCTTTGACATATTACATACCGACTTAGAGCATAGAGGACAAGCATATCTGTTGCAGAGAATGTCAGTTCAACCTATCAACACTCTAAATGCATAGGACAACAAGAAAAATTACGAATAACAATAACTTACTGGTAGTGTTCCTGCATCTCCTTCAAACAGTTCTGGTGAATAGTGTGTCCACAGGGCATGACTGTTACATCGTTTACCGACTCAAACAGATACTGGTGTATAACCATTCTCATGTCATTTGTTTGCAACAAAATGCCGATCCCAAAAAAAGATTTAAACGAGGGAAACAGAGAATTTTTATTTCAATCCATACCTCAAAACAAACAGGACAGTCATGATGCATTGCTCCCTCTACACAAGGGTGGCTTTTCTTCAACAAAACTGAATAGCAACATCCTGAACCATACACCGATCACATAGTAAGAGAAACGAAATACCAGAGGGAGAATAGGAATTGCACGCATAGGAGATATGCTAAACAAAGGAATGTTTGACACTTACTGCATTTGGAACAGTGGAAGAAGTTCTCCATCCCACCAATCCTAAATCAAGAAAATAATGAAAATGAAACATCAACATCATAACTGATGCAGAGCTACGACGCTAACACGTTTGAACATAAATTCCCAAATATTTATTGAAAAAGCTGATTTCGGTGAAGTTTGATATGAAATTGAAAATATGTTTGGACATGGATTTTGGGGCAAGTTTTGACATGTTAAAAGGTCCTTTTTTTTTCTTCAGCTGAAAAGTCCCAAATGGTCATGATTTCGCCCAAAAAGAGGTCTTAAGCTATATTTGGGATTTGAAGTTTTGGTTTTCAAAATCTTCCAACAACTAAATTAATTCTATAAAAGAACACATATTTGAAATTTCTTGTTTTGGAAAAAACTTCCAACACTTACGGCCAAATGCCTACTAAATGTTCTGGAAAGTGTGAAACAGAAGATTTCAGATGAATTGGTACTGTAATTGCAAAGTGTGTCTGTTCATTACTACTCTTAGATGAGAGGAGCATACGTGTTATCTCCTTTTCTTTAGTTGCTCCCCTTCGCTCAACCAGAGATTCAACAGAGATAAGGAAAGATAGAGGGGGAGGGAAGAAGGAAGACAAAGGATATGGAAAACAGGCAAGGCAGGAAAATTAACAGAGTAACCATACCTGCAAATGCCACAACCATTGCAGTGATACTGTCTCTTGGATATCTGAAAGATGATAAATGAGAAGAGGTTAGTCAGCACATTACATATCAGAAATATTTCGGTTACACATCGGCATTTCCTGCTACTATCCACTCCTAGCATTCAAAAGTATTTATTAAGCATTTTACTCTAAATACTAAAGTGAGGAGAGTTTCGACTTACATCATCATCAAATAGCTTACAGGTTTCACAGAAATACTTCCCCATGCACACGCCACAACTGATGCAAACTTGCCGAACCTGGAAGAGGACAAAAGTTATAACTGGTCAATGCAAGCTGCTTAGCAAGAATAGCAAGTACAACCCAATAGAACTCAGTTCTCTTTGGGTTCCTGGTCAATAAACTGTCTTAACACACTGAAGCATCAAAATCAATATATCTCTGGCTAAAAGGACTTGCGCCGCTCAATTGCACAACAGTAACCACAGAAAAGAGGGTAAGACCACTCACCTCTTGCTCAGTATCACAAAGCGAGCATATAACCTGCAAAATACCCCCAAGAAATGAGTACACTTTTTCTCAGACCTCATATTCAGTTTCATACAGATTAAATGAAGAGAAGGTGAAGCTAGTTGATGGGAAGGAGACAAAAGGAAGAGAATCATAAATAGGAAAAGAAAAGTTATTGGCACAGAAGATAGTATAAAACAAGTTGGAGCATTACCCTTTCCACCTTGTGACGAGGAATCTCATGTCGAAGTTTCTGGTCAATGTTGATATTGTTCTGTACACAAGCAAATACATTAGTATAGTCTTGACCAATCAAAGACGGAAAATGGATAATCTAGAGAACAATTTGCTGACAAGGTAAAAATCTATCATGACATGTAGCGGTGAGGAATGCTGTGAAGTGTAAATCAAGGTGTCTCTCAGCCAAAAAGTAAAATACAAAAAGAGTGCCTTCAAACAATTATGCAAGTATCGCTGGATGCAGGTACTTTATTATCTGGAATTTTACTGTAGCGTATTGTGCAAGTCTTCAGTCACAATTACGATGACAGAAATATTACTATTTGTAAGTGTGTACTCAATTCCATCTCCAATTAAAATGTCTATTGCCCAAATTATGAGTCCAACAATCATAAGGACTTACCTTAGCTTCGTTATGACAATGCCTGCAGACGAATATTTCATTGCAGCAAGGGGCTCTAATGCGACATCTACGCCGATAGTGAGAACAGCTGGAAAAGAACATATATTAGTGAATAATTGACAATCATATGTCCAATATGTATGAGGTATAGCCTAACATAGTGTGAGGATTTGTATTTATACCTTCAAGAATATAACAGAATTGTTGATAGAATATCAAGGCAAGAGTGATTGGACAAAATAGAAATAAGTTCACCGTCATGAATGAGATAGAGAACATACCCATATTCCAAGTATCCTCTGTCAAGGGCTTCTGTAGAATAGGATTTTTCTTCACGTGTTCCATCCTCAGGCAAGTAGCCCTCATGGAAATTCTGAACCACGTCAGCATCACTCATAAATATTACGTTGTGCATGTTTATTGTCTCAGAACATGGAGTCCCTGAATGTTCAATCACTATGCCTCCCATTGAGCCTTATGTATGAACTTAACTACTACAAGCCCTGCATCCAGGAAATAGTTAAGGAAAAAGTCCTAAAACCTACAAAGGCATGTCTACTTGCCCCTCCAAATGGGCAAAACACCTCAGACAATGTTGCTTTCTCGCACATTGTAGAATATCAATTGAAACCAGCAACTACAAATTCCAACTAAGGTTGAACAGCTCCAATCAGCAAACTCCACCGTGAGAATTCATCAAAACAAGTTGATCTACAAGAATCCACAAGTGGGTCCACAAGGAACCCAATCTAGAACTATCATGAAGCATTGCGTAGCTGCAAAGCGTCCAGCAGTACATAATAATGATTGCATGATCACTTCATTCTTGGAGAAGTCCTCCATTTAAAGAGATACTGACGAAGGGTAGTCCAACCTAAGGTAAAAGCAATGGACAAAGCATCAAACCCGTCCCACAGAGAAAAACATTAGGGGAAAAGTGCGAGAAACTGCAGAGATGAATTATTTTGCTGTCCATCGAGAACAACCCTACCTCTGTCTGAGATTCTGCACCATGTAGTCTTCAACAAGGGAAACTTACCCTGACCAAGAATTTTGTAAGTCCTAACTGCGTGTTACTTGGAAGCCTCATTGTCTGAAAGGAAAGTGTTATCAGTTGTGTAACAATGTCCAACTGGTCCATACTCTCCGGCTCATCTTTTGCCTTTTCTTTATCTTATTCTTTTTTTTCCTTACTTTTTACTTGTTTCTTCCTTTTCAACCTGAAGTTTATCTTTGCTAACCAAGACCTCATCAGTGGACATGCCTAATATTTTAGGATGACTACAAGTTTTGAAATACATATAAAAAGCATCTTGTGCCTTAATATCTATCTTTTCGTGGTCCAACTTCCGGTGCTCGTGTAATAAATAAAATTGTATGCAGTCAATACCATCTGTTAAGGAGAGTTACAACCACATATGAATGATCTCCTTCAGAAACCTAAGATTAAATCGGTTGGATGACAAAGCATAGCAGAAGGAATTAACATGCCAAGTCTTGGAAAGCACTCCAAACTCCCAATCCAAATGCTGCCTATTAAAGGAAGGCAATAACTGCTAGTACCAGTAGCCTCTATGGTTACCAGGTTACCAGCAAGTTGAACAAAAAATAGGAAAAAGGACACAGAGTGATGAACAAACTGAACAGAAGATTGACATGGATGTCCAAAGGAAAGGGCACTTCTGATGACTGCTGCTTCCGTTTGATTCAAGTTCCCAATTTTGCTACTTCAGATTGATTGAATACGTATGTAGAAATGCTAATGTTTATGCCTCAAAATTTCGTAACAGAAAAGGAACAGATGAAAAATATAACAATCCTCTGCACCAAGTTATTCCATGTAAAGATTGTTTTGATATATTTTCATTTAAAACAGTATTAGATCTTCAAAATCTTTGTGACTTGTCTATTGTTTATCATTTATATAAGGTTTCTGGACAGTCTTACAATTCCATATACTCAATACCTCCCTGGAAGTTCGATTTAAAACTGCAGCTTACATACTATCGAAAGACACCATGGACAGCATACACTGAAATCGCAGTCATGATTGCAGAGTAAATTTGACAACCAACAAGCCACGCAAATTTTTGCTGAACCACCAGCTGTTCTGATAACATCGGTAACTGCCCTACTTGAGAATTCCTAATCTCTATCTTGCCAGATGTTCACAAAATTAACCATCAATTCCAGTTGACACACTTTTCACCTTAGGCATCCATTGTTATTTAAGCAATGTGAATAAATCATGTACGAGTTCAAGATAAGTTGGCAACACATATCCTGAAACTGTAGCTACCTAAGATTAAACTAGAATTTTCCACAAAGTGCTCTATCATCTCAGGTCCAAAGAAAGCCAAACTAACACAGAAATCGCATATGGAGGTGACAAAAGCTGCTGCCACTCACACAATCCATCAACAAAGATAAATTCCTGAATAGAGGATCAATTACACTAAATGCATCAAGAAACGAAGGTAAGGTTAATGAAGCCATCAAAGCTGGAAAGTACACCGATCCTATCAATCAAACACTATCCATACTTACACATTGCATACATTATTTTATTTAACAAAGAACAAAACCAGGGCAAAGTAACAATAATCAGACACCTAACAGACCAAGCAGCAGTCACAATTAAACAATTGCAAGGCAACTATTCACAGCAGAACAACTGCAAGCAAACAAATGGATTGTGACCTCAAGCACAGAAAACACAATCCCCAACAAAAACAATTACTTTTCTTTCTTCATCGCACAACAATCAAAATTCCTATAAATTCCACAGAAAAACAAAATCATGACAGAAGCACAACAATCAGAATAGTACAAATTCCACCAAAAGTCCCTTTGTTCCAACTAAGGCCTACGCATCATAACTCATATAAGCAAAAAAAAAAAAAAAAAAAAAAAAAAAAAAAAAAAAAAAAAAAAAAAC